CTCTCTCTCTCTCTCTCTCTCTCTCTCTCTCTACAACACACACACACACACACACACACACACACACACACACACACACAGCTGTGCATTACATCCTGGTGCTTATTACTGTGGTAGATGGTGTGTTGAGTGTGACAGTCGCAGGCTAAATGGGTCATATAGGTGTAGGTGTTTATCTAACCTTTCTGACAGTGGTTAGCAGGCTGTAGGTCGCTCGCTCTGTCAATAGCAGAGTGTTCACAAAAGAGCCTGTTCTGACTCTGACTGCTGTGAGTCCACTTTGGTTTCTTCTTTGACTCAAAGTCTTTTTTTACAAACGTGTATTTGCAAAATATGCGTCACTGTTACTGTGAAGGGTCGACAGTTAGTACAAGTATTTGTGATTTTGTGCTTCAACATGAAAGACAATCAACATGGGATTAAAGTGGAAGCTTTAATTCAAGAGGTTTAACAACAGTGTGGCCTTAACTGTCCCAAATGACAGAAGCTCAGAAATCCGTCTGGTCTGAAGGTCCGTCAGATGTCTTGGATGTCCTTCGTCTATGGGCATACAGATGCTGTTTCCTGTCTGTAGATGCTCTGGCAGGCTTTTGTTGTTGACACCTCAAGCTGCTGCTTGTTTGCGGTTCTCTCTTGTTGTGTTTAGTGCATTAAATAAAAGAAATCAACAGCTGTTTTTGGTCTTTTGTTAGTTTTATTCTTGTAGAAATGATTTCAGTCCACACAGGAAGCAGACCCTATAGTTTCCTGCCACATCTTTATTACCCTGTTGCCAGGCAGAAATGCAGTCACCCTACACAGATCAAACACAGGATGTATGTAGTAGATATGATAATGAAGTCTTATCTATTCAGAGAAAGGAAACCGGACGCTGTCTGAGTTTGGGAGGTTCCATGCCTGCACTTGCCTTACCGAGGGTTAAGCATTGATGTGCCACTGCAGGAAGAAAGTCTTAGTACATAACAAATAATGTTTTTCACTCTGAAGCTGCTGCGTTGGATCACGATTAGATGAATAACAATAATGTGTACTGTATTGATCCCCGTGGGGAAATCCCTCTCTGCATTGAACCCGATCACTCAGTGAAGCAGTGGGCAGCCATTAGGCAGTGTGTAGGGACGGTGCCTTGCTCAGGGGTAGCCGTTCAGGGGAATCGAACCCCTGACCTTCTGATCACGGGTCCAACACTTTACCCACTGAGCTAGCTATCTTCTTGTCTTGAGGATCTCTCGGGTTGCTTTTGCAGTTTTCTGTGGTCGTCTCCCGTCTGCACTCTGAGCTGCTGTCTGCAGCGCGCCCTGTACACGTCACAGGTTATCCTGATGCTTCTGTCAGCACACCATCAGTTAACACTTGTGAGCTGGTTTCAGTTGACACACATGCGCATCCTTATTTCAGTGTCTCGACGAAGTTAAGACCTGGATGGCCCCAAATGTTCTTAATTTTAACGAGGAAAAAACTGAAGCGATCATCTTTGGATCAAGCTGCTATTCTAGTACCCCGGATCTGCACACTTTGGCACCTTGTGTTAAACCGCATGCCAAAAATCTGGGGGTTATCCCTGATAATAAGTTTACCTTTGAGTAACAGATTAACTCTGTTGTACAGCGGTCCTTTTTTAAATCTTATCCAAGGTGAGATCATTCTTATCTTTTAAAAAACTAAAACGGGCAGTTCACGCTTTTATGGACCACTGTAATCCTTCATATGTAGCTGATAGCCAGCGTTGTCTAGCACGGCTCCAGCTGGTCCAGAGCGCTGCAGCTCGTCTCCTGACACAAAGAGACGCAAACACGTTTCCCCGGTGCTCGCCGCACTGGCTCCCAGTCCGCTTTAGAATTAAATCCAACATGTTATTGATGAATATAAAGCGCTGAACGTTCAGGCTCCAGAGTATCTGTCTGACTGGCTGCAGCCTTATTTGAGCTCTTAGATCAAGTGATCTCTTGCTCCTGGCCACGTCTGAGTCCAGGCTGCTTCACACAGGTGACCGGGCAAAATCGCAAATCTGTCATTGATATTGTTTGTTACTGTGTAATCTTTCATCTTTGTGCAGCACTTTGGCCAACATTTTGTTGTTATTAAATGTGCTATATAAATAAAAACAAAGTAAAAAACCAACATGGCCTCGTGGAGTCTTTGTGTAAACACAGCTGTAATTCTCAGACAGTCCGATCTCATCTTGGTCAATGAATTTGAAATATTCTGTGATTGCAGATGCAAAACAGATTACAAAATATCAACCTAAACACTCAGAGACTAAGTAGACATGAACTAATAGTTGAAGCACTTGCAGTCTGCTTGAATCCCAGTTTGCTGCTATTTTTAAATGTTTCCCTTTTTTCCACATGTCTGTATTTGCAAATTCAGGAGGATGAATGAAGGATGAAACTGTCTGACCAAAAATACCAAAACATTTTTGTAACATACCTTCACAGGACGTGGTGACCCTTGACCCCAGCAAATCAGCTGACTTAGTGCTGTTTCATTTCACCTCCGAGGTGCAGCACATCGTCTCTGAGCTTCAGGTGAGGTCAACAGAAATACTGATGTTATTCCTCGTTGTAGTTTCTGAAGCCTAAACGAAGCCTCGAACAGCACAAATATTAAAACCTGAGGACTGCTGTCCAAACCTTTGCCTTCTTCGTTTGTTGTGTATCAGATAAAATACATATGTTGTGCATTTTCCAAAGGGCTGTAAACAGTACAGTATTTACAATAGTCTTCATATCGCACTTTTCTACTTCATGCAGCATGCCTCATTCACACATGCATGTTTTTCTCTCCATAACTGCTTTTTGTCTAACATTCACACTCTCATCAGTGAATTGCAGAGCAGGGTTCAGTATCTTGTCCACAGATGCAGACTCGAGCAGCCAGGGGTCAAACAACCAACCTTAGAATTAGTAGATGCTCTAACTCGTGAGCTACAGCCTCCCAGTTTCCGTTCATTTGTCTCTTAAGTCATAATGTTGGGCTTCAAGTCTAATTTTAGTCCCTCTTTCAGAGCCGTTGCCAGAGCTCCTATCAGAGGATGCTGAGATAGTTTGACTCCTATCAAACTGAAGACCAGTTTTTGGAGGATTGCTAAACAGTGATTGTGTAAGGGTTGTGTCACAGTGAGCTCTGGTAGTGCTCTTTCTGTGGGGCGATCGTGGCTCAAGAGTTGGGAGTTCGTCTTGTAATCGGAAGGTTGCCGGTTCGAGCCCCGGCTTGGACAGTGTCGTTCGTTGTGTCCTTGGGCAAGACACTTCACCCGTTGCCTACTGGTGGTGGTCAGAGGGCCCAGTGGCGCCAGTGTCCGTCAGCCTCGCCTCTGTCAGTGCGCCCCAGGGTGGCTGTGGCTACAATGTAGCTTGCCATCAGTGTGTGGATGATGGATGACTGGATGTGTAAAACGCTTCGGGGTCCTTAGGGACTAGTAAAGCGCTATACAAATACATTTACCGTCCCTGCTCACACAAAGGAACAGATACTAGTCCTGCTTCTGGTTTGATCCCCACCTAGAGCTCTGTTTGGCTCTGGTCATGTAGCAGCTCGTCTCCTCTCATGTTGAGGCGCAGCAAACCTGTGTGAATGTGACATCCTGGAGGAGCTGGACTACCTGTAACCTGTGATACAATCTTTTGACAAGGACACTAGAAAAGCAAAACTGGAAAAAAGATCATTCAGCAGGGATGAAGAGAAAGCAGTGGTCTCCATCACATCAGTAGGTTGGTGGTTCCATCCCTGGCTGCTCCAGTCAGCATGCCAAATATCCCTGGGCAAGATACTAACCCCAAGTCGCTCTCCGGTGTGTGATTGTTAGATGAGGCCTGTTGTATAAAGTGCTTTGAGTGCTTCAGGAGAGTAGAAAAGTGCTAAAAAAATCGATCCATTCACCATAAAAGCAGGTTAAATGCATAGAAACTGTTTCCTAATAAGACATATTGGTGCTTTATACTCTGATATTCTCCTATTTTTTGAGTGATTATGTAAAATATTCTTCTTCTCTCTCTCTCTCAAGGATGATCAGCTGCTTTTCAATTTCCTCAACTGCCTCTTGGAGCCACGGTACGGTGTGCGTTTTACCATCTGCTGTCTTAAGCTTTGAATATGCTCTCTTGCAGACACAGCTGGAGATGTTATTGCCAAGTAGTTCTGCTGTTATACTCCAGTTTAAGTTAGGTGCATAGTTGGTGCCATGTAAATTGTCCAGCTGTGAGTGTGTCGTCAGGAAAGATTGGGAGGCACGCAAATGTTTGCACAGAGCTTTGTGGGGACCCTTGTGCTCAGCATCTGATAGTGAAAATCACTTGGACATGAGCAGGAGCCAGTGGACTTGCAGATGCACAAAGTTGAATCAATCCTGCATTTCTCTCTCTCATCCTAATTATGTTCTTCTTCTCCTTATGTGGTCACCTCTGCTCTTCTCAGGGAAGGCCCTCATTCAGGGTCCATCTTACCTCAAGAAGGTGACTTCCATGAGCTTCTGCTGGATTTAATGTGCCGCTTTGCCCCAGACCAGCTTCTGAGCTTTCTCCACACCTCCCAGCACTACAGACTAGAAGATGCAATACAAGTACTATTATAATTCTTCTTTGCATGTTTCTGTGTACAGAAGTTAAAAACCAAATTATTCCATAAACAGCTGCATTAGTTAATGTATGGAGTAATCTTGAGTGCGTCTGGGTAGAACATAGTTTCTATAGCTATATATAGAAGCTCTGATAGAAGCTGTGATAGAAGCTCTGATAGAAGTTGTGATAGAAGCT